CAGCTTCTATTTTATACACACACACACACACACACTGCACATTGGAGCCACCCACCTATGCTTCGTTTCTCTCTTTCGTATCCTCGATGCTGTGCTGACATTGCTTTGCCACTGCAATGTTCATTTGCAACGTTGCGATGCTTCTCTATCACACAACTTCTCTGCAATTACCTTATTTTGATTTTATCCTGAAAATTTATATGAATAAGGCTGTGCAAGTTGAAAGCGCCGCTTTGTACAGTAAAATGCTATTCTTACGCTTTATACAGCAAATTACAAGCGTTTCAAGTCGTGATTTAAGATGTATAAAAAACTTTTGAGCGACACACGTTTCCGCGTTTATTTTAGGGCTACATAATATATAATAAACTGCATTATACGCTGCAACTGTGAGTGAAAGTATACAAGCTCGCGCGTTACACACACTTACAAGGACACGAAAAAAAGCTCACGCGGTCTACATAAATTCGTAATAGGTTTTTACTCGTAATAACCTGCGATATCGATCATAATATGCGAGCGTGTATAAAATCGAACCGTGCTCACTAGCTCGCCTGCTAGCCAGCAAAAGACAAAGAGGCAAAGTTTTGTCGCACCTCGATAATCGATATCTATCGGCCAAGTGAGAAAATTGGAAAATCGTGGCTAATTAATTTCTGCGTTTGTCCACGAGAGACTACAACGGCAGCATCCCTCGCTTCTTAGCGCCTTCGCCGCGAAATGAACTTTTGTAATTTTATTTTATGTCGCGCGATCGTCGACGGAGCCCCTTTTGAACCTTGCACTTGAACACCGATATCAAGATTCAGCGTAGAAAATTACGCGACTGATCGACGAGCCTTTTGAGAATACTACTTTGTTCGAATATAAATATGGCTCGTTCGATATTATTGCTGCACTCTGTATCACACTTATTTCAAAAGAGAAATCACGCGGAAAGACTCGCCCTCTTCACCGACGATGAGAGATAAAAGCTCGTCAAATTTGCATATGAAAAGAGCCGGGCGCTATTCAAATTCTGCACTATTGTTACACCACACCATCAACATTGAATTAATCCGTGTCAAAAGTTAAGTTCTCGCTTCTGATAAAGATCCTCATCAGATTAAAGAGATCCTTTTATCAATTGCATTTTTAGTAATTTTACTCGACTTTTTTTTACTTTCAGAATATTTAACTACGAATACTCAATGAAAGGGATTGACAAGCGCCGCTAAAATGTTATGTAATGGAGCATTGGATTTTTTGCGAATAAAATTTCTTGCAATCTTAAATTCAAGATTTTGCTTTCAGCGAGTAAATGCATATATGAAATATTTTTCTGCTATACGTGCGTCGTTACATTCGCACAGTGACGCGGAAAGCGTTGATATCCAACATACAAATAGCTTTGTGGTAATAGCTTTTGCGGTTGCAAGAGGCTATATACCATTAAAAATTGAAGCACGTCCCACAAGTAAAGAAGTAAAAAAATGTAATATACCTTTATAGATATATACATGCGCAAATATAAAGATGGTTTCTCTACTATAGCAGCCAAAGAGTGAGAGAGAGAAAGCAAGAGTGTATAAAATATAATACGCTCGGCTTGGCATTTAATTGAAACCCAAAGTCTGCAAGAATCTACGCTTTGCGTCGTGTGTGCGAACGAAATCGTTTGACTGTTTATTGGATAGTACGAAGAAAAACAAGTGAGAAAAAAATATACGTACATAAATTCGCAGAGCAGCTTGATAACAAAATTGAAAATCAATCGGCTAGATTGATTTATCTCGTACGCACACGTACACGTGCGAGCGCCGAGGCGATTTTGATATTGAGCCTCGGTTACGCGCTATCGCAACTTTTTTATTATTATTGTTATTATTTTTCATTTTTTGGGGAAAAAAGAAGTAGGGTGAAAAAATGCTCGTATCGCATAAACAAAATTGTCGAGATAAACGGGTCGGAGCATTGTTATGAGAGCAGTTTCAGAATGCCATTATTCTGCAGGGCTGTAACGATATTACGTCGCTAGAGAGATTGGCATTATTGGCATATTTTGCTCCGTCGCTTGCGCACATTCAGCTGAATTTCATCAAGACAAATCTATCCGATGGGAGGTTATGAAATTTACATCAGTCGAGTATTCGCCTCCATCATTGGCGCATCAGTCTATATATAGACACACTCTCTCTTTCTCTCTCCCTCTTAGCCGAGTTTGTGTAATCTCTTGACGCGAGAGTTGCTGCTCTCTTCTTCCTTATCGAACGGATGCGCCGAGAAATTTTCTAGGCATCGAGCTAGCGAATATAATCCGTTTAATCCAGCTGAATATCAAATAGTCTGAGTCTTCCACTGATATCCATCCTCCTTCGTATCCGCTCAGTTGCCTCTCGATATACATCGGCTGCACGTCGATCCATTCACCCTATCGTTTTTTTGCATTTTTAATCGAATATGTTTTTAACGAGTTAACGTGAAAAGTCGATTAGGCCAGCCGGGGCAATGAGCTGCCGCGAGCGCAAGCTTCGCTCATTGTTTGCATCTACTTGGAACACTCGCGATGTAGCAGCCCGATCTGTTTTTCCGAAATTGCCATTCGATTCGAAGAGCGTCCATAGAGTTTCAATTTTTCCGCGCGCTTTGAATATCATTCAAAAGAAAGGTTACTTGCGAGCGATTAAAAAAGCGAGCGCGACAGCGGTAACGGGCCGTTTGTGCTCGTTAAGTCGAGCGAGCGAATCGTTAAGCGACTGCGGAACAATAAGAGCGAATGCGGTTTATGCGCTCGGCTCGTATTTACACGTTAATTCAATTATATTCTGCGAGCATGGGGTAAAAAAGTAAAGGAAAATAAAAACTCGTGGCAACGTTTTAATCGCGAAAAGATGCTTGAAAGACGCAGCGCGAAGAGGGTGCTAAATCACTGCTGCGAGCTTGAACATCTCAATTATTCATATTTAAGATGTGAACCTGCACTCGCACACCCACGCGGCAGACACACAGAGAGCAGCAGACACAGAGCAGCGAATGAGCCAAGATGATGATACTTATCGTGCATAATGAAGTATGCTCGCGTGCTCGTGAGCCTCCATCTCGCCGAGAGAGAGAGAAGGAAGTTATAACGCTTACGTTCGTGGTGAATGAGGTTTTTTTAGCCTTCGCAACTTGGTTGAGAAAACAAAAATATAATTACGTTGATAAAAGTTTGCTCGGGCGTACAAGTATGCTCGGATGTATGTAGGCACGGACGCGCGGTACTTTTTCCGCGAGGGAGCGCAATATTTTTTTTCTCGCTGCACGCATTGTACCTCTTTGGATTTTGGCCTTGACCCAAGGTATATAGACGGAGCGCGCGCGCGGGCTTCTCCAGCGACTGCGGCTCTCGAGAATATTTTTACACACATGGATTAAAAAATGCACAGACGCGATATGTCGAGGGACGAGCGAGACTTTTCCCTCGATTGTCGGCAATGAACAGGTGAACAATTTTCCCACTCGACGGCGGCTCCCACTGCACCGTCGAGTTTCCTACTTTTTTTGTTATCTTTCGCGAGAGAGCTGGCTCGCTATTCAACATGTATTTTCGTGCGACTAGCCATCAGGGCCAAGTTAATTTTGCGAAATGACCTATATTTACAAGTTGGCCAAATTGTACAATCTCTTTAGGAGCTGCTGCGAGCTCGTAAAAATTACTTTCCGACTGGCTGGACTGTGTGTGTAGTGTGTAGGTGTGTGAGCGAGCGAGTGTAGGAGGTGCCGCCGCCGCCGCTCTAGCTCCGTTGGCTGCAGCAGGTTCGGAGCTCTAGCGCTAGATAGCCGCAAGAGAGAGGCGCGCGTGGCCAGGTGAGTATTGATCGGGGTGCGAGGGGGCAAACGAGCGACGTGCGTCTATATAGCTATGTATCTGTGCGAGTTCGCTCTACACCATCGCAGCCGCTGCTTCGTGCTCACTCTCGGTGGCGGACGATACAGCACCTACGCGCGCCAACCTATCTCTCCCCCGCGCGCACCTAGTGGCTCCTCCACGCATGCATATTACAGCCAGCCGGGCTTATTCGCTTTCGGGCAGGCCTCTCGACCGACTTGGCCTGACCAGCTGAAACGTCGCTCGCCAACTGTTGCTCGACGCGCCAACATCCTCTCCGCTCGGACCTAATGAGAAAACTTGCAAAAGAGCTGGCCGATGCGATTTACGTGTATCGAGCTTTTGCTGCGCTCCGGCTCGAGAGACGCTTTTATTGCAATTGATAAAAGATCGTTCGCGTGTTAACCGATGCGAAACGAGCTTAAGAGGACTTTCCTAAAGTGCACGCCAGAGTGTGTGGGAGCTGGAGTGAGAGAGAGAGAGAAGGAGGCCTCGTGGGAAATGAAGATATCGTTAAGATAGTTTCGTGTTACTAACTCTTTTGAGAAAGGGGCAGAAAGGGAGAGAGACGCTGGAATCTAGGACTGCGGCATACTATCCCAATGCTACGTTTTCGATTTCAAGTAATCGATCGTGTGTATTTCCTTGTATATCTAGTGGTAGCCGCGCGACTTGTACAGCATCTCCGAGACCCGATAAATCTTTTGTCGTGGATAGCAAAAGAAAGAGAGAGAGAGAGAGAGAGAGAGAGAGAGTAAGAAAGAGAAAAAAGAGTATAAAAAAAGTGAAAAAAAATTACAATCTAGTTGATTGAATTTTCACGTAGCAAAATGCAAACTTTTCTCTCTTGGAAAAGTTATTTTTATTGCTCGAGTGTACGCTGAAGCTTGAACATATTTTTAGCTTGATGATAATCCCGCAGCCCACGCGCTGCATTAGACGCGAGCAACAGGCAATAAAGAGCACGAGCGCTCGTTACAAATACCGGCCACTATATATGTGCGTCATAATGAGGATGACGCAACAGGCTTATGCAACGGCCAATCTGGTAACGTCGCGGACCTTACAATCTCGGGTATTTTTTTTTTTTTTTTTTTAATTCAACGCGATTTATTCCTGTATGGAAATTGAATAATATGAATGGATTTACCTATGCAGATGTCGCGTGGCGGACGCTGGTCGATGGGATTTCTTCAGCTAGTTGCATCTGCAAACAATAAGACGAGAAAATAATTAATTAGACATAATGATTACTTGGAAAGTATTTCGAATGGCAATTACAGCAACTAATGCGGCTCATTGAGCGTTTATAAAGCTTGTGTCTCTGTGGCTTGTAAGCTGCTTTCAACTTCCGAGACTATCCTTGTATAATCGCGCTCGAGTAACCTTGTTAGTAGAGAATCCTTATCTGATCCTACTCTATCTATCTCTCTCTAAACTCGCTTAACCCGTTGGATTGTCGAATCTAATAAAGCATGGCTATGGACTTATTAAAAAACCAATCACAAGATTTACCGCAGGAATTTGAAAAAGTGCAATGGGTTAGCAGGTGTGCTCGTGGTCGCAGCTGTAGCTGACAAAAAAAAAGGGAGGAAATGGCTGACACGCAAGGGATTTTGCGTGTCATTTATACAGAGAGAAAAGGAGAGAGAGAGAGAAATGTTATCGGTCAGTTAACGTTCAGCATTGACACGCTATTTTACTCCGCTTGACTGAGAGCTGGATTTATCGTGCACTAGTGGCTTCGGCTATTTTTCCTTCTTCCCTCTTTCAGTAAGAGCTCGAGCAGACGCCAGGATATTTATAAAAAATGCGAAATAGATAAAATAGCTTTAACGAAATATGCTTTAAATTTATAGTCCAGATGTAAAAAAAGAAAAAGAGATTGACAGCTGCTGTCGAGGCCTAGAACAAAGCCATAGTTGAAAAGTCTACAAGCACACGTGTACGCGGCCAGGCACAGGGTTGAAAGTTTTAAATAATAGCAAAATAGAGGGGAGTGTAAGGCTCGTTTCGCACAGATGGCCATCGTCCACTTGTGCGGCTAACGATGCTGCTGCAACATCCCTTCTCTCGAAGCTCTCGACATCCGCTAGATAATACGGCGTCGTTGCTTGTGCGCGTTATATGGGCTCGACCTCGACGATAACGATCATACACGGGCTCTTTTCTTCTTTCTTCTTCTATTTACTTCTTTTTTTTTTCATGCCAATGGAAGCAACAGGCAATCTTGTCGACTTCTGTGTGCCCTTTTTTTTACACCGAGTCGATGAGCTTTCGTGTTTTGCGAACTGTTTTCATAAGTCACAATTGTGTGAGTTATATATGTTGTGTATAAAATATTGATTGGTCGACGAACGATTTGCATCAGCTACAGCAGCAAATTCTTGCCTGCGCCCGAGCCATGCACTAGACGGTACGGAATTTTTCGGAAAAAAAATCTATGCGGGGTTGCACAGAGAATCAAAGGAAACAAATAATGGAAAAAGCCAGAGAACTATATACACGCTTGATTGTTATTTTGTTTGTTTGCTTTTTTTGCAAAACAAACGTCGATAGGAGCACACGGCAGATCTGGATTGTTATATTTACTATTTTACATCTTTTGTATACATTTGAAGGATATAGAAAAGTGAGAGAGAGAAAGAGAAAGAAAATATTTCAATATGTATACTATAATGTTACACATGTTATGAAAATCAACTTTTATTTCTATTGCTGTGCCATTTTCCCGCGAGCCTTACTACCACAGCTCGTGTACGACTATACACTTACTTCGCTACTGCGCACACCCAGTTTTCCTTTCTTTACTTTGCCAACTCGAAGAGCCTCACAACATGAATAGATACTTTGAGATCGACTCACTGATATGCTTATTTTCCCCGCATGACTTGATTATCGGAGAGGATTTTTATTAACATATCGAAAAGTATGAAATATAAATATAAATTATTTTGCTCGAGTGTTCATGAAGCCCCGAACAAATTTCAAAAAGATCGAGACAAACAGCACCTGAGAGGTTTCTCAGCATTTATTATTCTCCTACACATGGACTCTGTGCAGCTGCTGCTGCTACGTCTGTCGTCGCTACTTGAGTCTCTCAAAGAAACCGTTTCCATTTCGTTGAATTTTATGGTTCCAGTACGTATAAAAATGTCAAAACTAGTAATTCGTGAATTAAACTAAACAGATTAAATTGAAATATAGTTTGCTCGTGGTCGATTTCACCCCTTTTTTTCATTTCCAAATACGTGTTTATTACGTCAAGTGTAAAAGATTAAATGATACGCACTCGAAGGCAAATCTTTCGCCAATTTCACAAAATGCGTTACACGTTAAATCGCAATTAAATGGTAGATATGAAAAGATAATGGTCGGCAAAATTGTTTTTCGTCCAGTTTTATTTTTTTAATTGCTCCGGCCTACAGTTTGGACAAATCCTCTCGTGAAAGTTGAACCGATGCACGTATTCCAGGCGACGTTTTCATAGTCTCTTTGATGTGTATTAGAAGTGCAGTCGGGCTGGGGAGATGCGGAGAGAGAGATGGATACAACCACAACTACAAATCCGAGAGGGAGAGAGTCCGAAACTATCTCGCCATCAGCGCTGAGGCTCATGCCAGTGCAGTGTAGGTGGTGCGCTATGCTCGCACGATAGCGCGTAGGTATCGAACGGATGGCCGATGATCACTTTCTCATCGCTACATACCATCGTATATAGAGCTTCTGACGTTTACGGATCATGTAATCGAGCTCGAATCTGTGTACATCGGCGAAAGAGATAGATGGCCAGCTCGACTCTGGATAGTCGCTTTTCGACTGGCGCTAATTACTCTATTTATGCGGGGAAATGAGCTTACTCGAGGTGTATACATTGCATCCGCAAATACTCATGCAAATACACGCAGCTACGATATAGGAATACTTTTGTTCGTTATATGTAGGTAGGTGGGTAGGTAGGTAGGTAGATCTAGATGGAAAAGAATATCGAGAGCCCCATATTTGTGTGCATCGTATGCCTCGATATATGAATACTCGAGTATATTATTTCGCGGGCAAATAGATGTAGGGCCGGAGCAGTAGTTTTGCTGGCGCACAAACGGCAAGTTATAAATTATCTATCGATCTGTCAGCGTGTGTGCATCTATGTGCGAGAGTGTAAATTATACAGAGAGGGATCGGGTACGTAACGCATATACGAGTCGTTCGATGAACTTCATTAATAGGGGAGAGAGAGCATGCGAACGACTCTATAGCAGTGACTTTATGCGCGTTTAAAAGTTTTAGCTCGGCTGCAGCAGCATATGAAATCGTCGCCGAGTTCGCTCGTTATAATAACTGGTATAAAACCTCAAGACAGGCTAAGCGCGCAAAATATACTTTCGACTCGCTTCTTGTGTACGTGGCTTTTTTTTTTATGTACGCGCGCACTCTCCGTTTTGATGTCGTAAACAAGCTCGAAAAAAAAAAGGAGCGCATTACGAGCGCCCCGGCCCGCACACACAAACAGACTCGCAACGAGGCAGCTCGTTGTAATAAATTCAAACCTCCCTTTTCTCCCTGTGCGCGCGCGGAGGGACGCGCTAAATACACGCCACACGATTATTAAGCACAAAACCATGTTACGAGGTATATAATTACGCGCATGCATGCACCACTCGGGGAGCGGGAGCAGCGCTGCACAGTGCACACGCTGCAGTACGCGCGCGACGCGGTCAAAGGAACTTAGAAAAGAGCATAATACGTATTATGTACGTGTATATGGAGTAAGCAGCAACGGCGGACACAGACTAGAGCCCCTTCTGTATGCAGCCTGGGTATAGAGAAGCGTCATGCGATATGCGATGTGTATTCACACGACGAATCAAACGTTCGTCGCACGCCGAGGTCATGACGCATATTACGAAAATAACTACAAAAAACCTCGCGCTTGTCTCCCAGCCCTACATGTGCAAGAGAGGGATAAATTATTTCAATCGGAAAAAACCTTGGACGATTGAATATCATCGTCGTCGACGTCGATCGTCAACGTCGGCTGCGCGCGCGCGCGCTCGTCCGCCAACCAACCAGACTTTCTTCCCTCCCTCGGGATTTATTTCGGAGCAAAGAATGAAATGACATAAATTTTTTTCCTCTCTCTCTCTCTCTCTCTGCTTTTTTTACGCTTCACAGCAACAGAGAGAATCTGACATGCGAAAAATCTTATATAACGCGTGCTCATCACAAGTCGTAAAATTCATACGTATGAAACTGAGCTTGCTATTACATTTTCATTTGATATAGTGAAAAAAACAAAGCGTGACATCTTAATTTCGGGCCAAAGTAATCTAAGAGCAGCAGTAAAAGGAGCGAGTGAAAACTTTTCTAAGCTTTGGTAGCTAATTGGTTAAACTTTTTACGCAGTTTAATTAAGTCTGCGTGTGTACGTGTGTATAGCCACGCAAGAGAACATTGTACTAAATTTCCGACTTCGTCCATGTTAGACTTTAACAACAACAAAAGTGCATGATACCACACACTCCCGGCTCTATTATATGTTTCTACAAATCCTGCAGCAGCAGACCAGATTCTCTCTGTATTTGTAAATCAACGCGAGGAATACAAAAATATATATTCATTCAAGTCGTGAATCAAAGGTGAAAAAAATATAAGGGAATAAAGTAAAAAACGCATGGATTGTTGCATTATTCAAAAGCTCTCGATCAAGTGGAATATATATACGAATATTATTGATCATTAAATCAGCCCAAGCGAAAAATAACGCTGCAGCGAGCGCGTAAAACTTTAAACATACTTAATAAATCCATTAAAAAACCTTGTGCTTAAATATATTTACATATGCTTATGAAGGCACCTATACGAGCGCAGTGAAGCTCTTCAGAGAAGGCTTTTGATGGGATTAAATTGCATTAGCACGTGCGAGCGTGTGTGAGCTGCATGTGTGTATACGTGTGCGAAGGGCTTCGTATTGTAACATTTGTCAAGTTCGTCGAATGAGTCTGTATCCATAGCAACTAATAGTCAGTGTATTCATATGAAGCTCTTGATATATTTTTCCAACACGTATTGCAGAAAATATTTTAATACTCTCAAAGAGCGATTATCTGCCATCGAGAGGGATAGCTGACGTATATAAATTCACAAACATACATAATTCCTCCAAATTAACGTTCGATTCGACTGAAACTAATTTCCCAATCCTTTGAC